TCATAGTCTTTGTTTCATGTTAGTTCATCAAATATATTTGTATTATAGTCTTTGAAATTGTTACATCAACTTATTACCTTTAAAAAACCAATTTCAGGGACTGGGGATTTAGCTCAGCGGCAAAAGCGCCTGCCTGGCAAGCGCAAGGTCGTGAGTTCGGTTCCCGGTACCGGAGAAAAACCAAAAAAAGAAAAATAATAAATAAAGTTTAATTTTAGCAAATATTTTTAAGCACCACTGTCCTGGTCTAGACAATCATGGAACTGGTCCCTCTCATAGCCACTGAACAGGGACAGAGCCCAGGCTTTTCTCTGATAACAGATGGTTGACATGGTTCTTGTGACTGACTTGCCTGCTCAACTGATTGGCTTAGAGATGCTCACCTGACCAGAAGCAACCAATCACTTGGCTGGCTTGAAGGGAACATTTCTTTCTAATGCAAATGAGGACATTAGCTAGGTCAACTTTATTCATATCCTCCCTCTCCTAACATGGACAGGAAATATGGAGAGAAGCTGCCCATTTGTAGTGGCCATAGAGACAAGATCCAGGCACAAGGATTGCTGAGTCACAGCAGACTGCAGGTTCTTTCTAACCCTCTGTGGTCAATGGCTTTTGAGTGACTATGGACCTAGAAACACCTGCCACACTCAGTCACCTTGAGCTGCACCCACACTAGAGTTTGAATTCTGAGGTGTCTGAGAGATTGCTTATGAATCCGGATCATAAAACCCCTTGTTTGAAGCAACCCAGATGTGTGTTTACCTTCAGGAATGAAAACAAAGAATATCGTTAGGGCAACACTGTCTAGTGTAAATGGAATGCAAGCAACATCCATAATTTTTAATTTTCTAGTAGACTCATTTAAAATTGTAAAATATGACAGTGGAATTAATTTTGTAGTCTAGTGTCTAAAATATATCATTTTAACATGCAAACGTACAAAAATAGGTAATGAGACATGTAAAAGTCTATGAATCTGCTGTGTACCCCTTAGAGACATTCTAGTTTGGACCAACGCGAGGAAGAGCAGAATGGTTTGTCCCCTGGAAGACACGGCTATTGTCTAACCCTGAAAACTCACAGCAGTGTCCGGCCCCATGCCAGGCAGAGCCACACATTACCTTTTCATGTTTTTTGTTTTTTTTTTTGTTTTTCTCCGGTACCGGGAACCAAACTCATGACATTGTGCTTGCCAGGCAGGCGCTTTGCCACTGAGCTAAATCCCCAGCCCCTACCTTTTTGTGTTTTATTGGTATATATTTGTAGTACCTACTGATTGCATTCATTGCGGATAACAGTTACATATTCATAACATATCTTATTTCTTTTTATTCACATTTCCTTTCCTTCCTTCCCTGCTCCCTCCAACTCAAGATCCCCTTCCCGCTTACCAAAGAGCTATCTCTCAATTTCCTATTGTCCATCTTTGCTTTTGCTCTTTATTCATATTTTGAGTTTCTCATATAAGAGATGGTATGCAATATTTAAACTCATGTGTCTAATTTACGTTATTTATCATTGTAAACTTAAGGCGGATCCATTTTCCTACAAGTAAAACTCATCATTCTTTATGGTAGAGTCGTACCTCACTGAAAAATACCCCATTGTCTTTACACATCTGTTAACTGCTTCTAAGATTTAGCTATTAACTGTGCTGCTATAAACATGGGGGCATGTCTCACTGCACTATGTCTTTAACTCTTTCAGGAAGACAGAAGGAGAATAACTGAGTCAAACAAAATTTCTAGTTTTAGTTTTTTAATGAAAGTTCATACTGATTTCCATAGTGGTCATACTAGTTTATATTCCCACCAACAATGTAGAAGGATGGCTTTTTCCCCTACAGTCTCACCAACATTTGTTATTCTTGGATTTCTTGATGGCAACCATTTTTTCAGAGTAGGATGGAATCTCAGTGTTGTTTTATCTTGCATTTCTCTGGTGGTAGAGATGTTGACCATTTTTTTCATGTGTTTATTGGCAATTTGTACTTCTGAGAAGTGTCTGTTAATTTCAGTTGCCCATTTTTAATTGGGTCTTTTATTTTGGGGTGAGTCTGAATTTTTAGTTCCTTATATACTCTAGATATAAGTATATCTAGAGTAGATATAAGTATATACTCCTAGTACTCTGTACTAGGAGTATTTGGGAAATTTTTTTTCTATTCTGTAGGTTGTCTCTTCACCCTGTTGGTTGTTTCTTTTGCTGTGAAGAACCTTTCCAATTTGATGTGCTGTAATCCCATTTGTTGATCCTTGATGTTATTCCTTGTGCAGCCAGGCTCCTGTTCAGAAAGTTCTTACCTTTCTATGTGTATCTTCAAGGGTTCTGCTTGTTTATCTTCCAGTAGATGAAGTGTCTCTGTTTTAATATGAGTCTCTGACCACTTTCAATTTTATTTTAGTGCATGATGATAGTTATGAGTCTAGATTCAATCTTCTGCGTATATATAACGAGATTTCCCAGAAACATTTGATAAAGAGGTGCTTCTCTCTAGTTTATGTTTTTGGCCACTTTGTCAAAAATCAGATGACTTTATATGCCTAGGGTTGTTTCTTCATCTTCTGTTCCATTGATCCACAGGTCTGTTTTTATGCCAGTACCATGCTGTTTTTATCATGGTAACTTTGGGATATAGCTTGAAACCTGGGATTGTTATGCTTTCTGCTTTTTGTTGCCTAGGATTACTTTTGATATTCTGGGTCATTTTGGTTTCCTATAAAGTTTAGAATTTTTTTTGCTAGTTCTGGGCAAAATGCTGTTGGCATTTTGATTGGGATGGCATAAAATTTATATATCAGTATGGTGGTATAGCCACCTGAACAATACTGGTTCTTCCTATCCAGGAACCAGGAATGTCTTTACATTTTCTGATGTCCTCAGTACACTGTAGTTCTCATTAACTAGGTTCTTTATTTCCTTGGTTACATTAGCTCCTAAGTATCTAATTTTTCTTGAAGCTATAGTAAATGGTATCATTTTCCTGATTTCTCTTTCAGTGAGTTCATTACTGGTGTACAAGAACACAAGTGATTTTTGTGTATTGATTTTGTAGCCTGCTACATTGTTGGATTTGTTTATTAGTTACAGGAGCCTTTTGGTGGCCTTTTTTTTTAGGTCTCCCATGTAAAGTATTATGTCATCTGTAAATAATGATAGTTTGACTTCTTCCTTTACTGTATGTATCCATTTTATTTCTTTTTCTTGCCTGAAAATTTCCAGTACAGTTTGCATGGGAATGGTCAGGATGGACACTCTGATCTTGTTCCTGATTGTAGAATAAACTGTCTCAGTTTTTTTTACATTTCTCCTACATTGGCAGTGAGTTTGTTATAAATGGCTTTTACCAGATTGAGAAAACTTTCTTCTTTATGCACCTAATGAGATGATCATGTGACTTCTGTCTTTGTTTCCATTTATGTAATGTATTACCTTTATATATTTGCATATGTTGAACTATCCTTGCATTGCTATTGGTATTTTGATTGGGATTTTATTAAATCTATTTATTGGCATACAGATATATAGATGAAGATCTGTATGTAGATGAAGATGTATATACAGATGAAGATGAAGCTGACTTGGATATGATGTATGATCTTTTTGATGTTTTGTGCCTGTGTCTTATTGAGGATTTTTGTGTCTATGTCCATTCAAGAGATTGGCCTGTAGTTTTGTTTTTTAGTTAGGCCCTTGACTGATTTAGATATCAAAGTAACCCTAGCTTCCAGGATTGAGTTTGGCAATACGCCTTCCTTTTCAATTTCATTAACAAATTGGGAAGTATTAGCCTTAGATCTTTCCTGAAGCAGTGAATTTATTAGGTTGTGAACTTTTCTTAGTTGGTAGGCTTTTTATTAATGCCTCAATTTGCTTCCTGTTATTGAACTGTTCAGGGGTTTTGTATCTCCTTGGTTCAGTTCCAGTACTTGTACTTGTCTATGAATTGCCCATTTCTTCTAGAATCTCCCATTGTTGGAGTCCAGTTTTCATAGGCTTTCAGCAGTATCTGTTGTGATGTCATCTTTTCCATTTCTAATTACAATGACAGGGGTTTTTCTATTCTTCTTTGGGTAACATCAGCTAAGGGTTTATCTATTTTGTTTATTCTTTTAAAGAGCCAGCTCTTCAATGCATTGATTCTTTGTGCTGCTCTTTTCTCCATAATCTGCTCTGATGTTTATAACTCCCTTCCTACCCCTGGATTTGGGTTTAGATTGGCTTGTTTTTCTAGGATCTTGAGGTGTATCATTAGGTTATTTATTCAGTCTTACTCTGATTTTCTAATATGGACATTCACAGCAATAACCTTCCCTCTAAGGACTCAAAATATGTGTCCCATATGTTCTGGTATGTTGTATTGGCATATCTAGTTCTAGGAATTATTTAATTTCTTTTATTATATCTTCTTTGACCTGCTGATTATTCAGAAGTGTGTTATCCAGTATCTAAGGTTTTGCAAAATTATTTTGCCATTGATTTCTAGGTTTATTGCACAATGATCTGATATAGACAGATTCTTTTTATGGGCCACTATGTGGTGTGTTTTGGAGAAATTTCCATGTACTCACTAGGAAAATATGTTACTCTGTTGTCGTAGGGTAGAACACTCTGTAAAATATCTATTAAGTCCATTTGTTTGAAGGTGTGGTTAAACTCTAATGTTTCTTTGTTGATTTTTTTTTTTTTGTCTAGTTGATCATTCTATGAACTCTGTGAACAGATCCATGTGTGCTGTCCTCTTACTTTGCTGTAACTCCAATTAGTCTTAGGTTAATCTTATGTAGACTAAATCTAGATGTTGGATCAATTTTTCTTGCTCTTTTATTGTTTCTAAGGTATCTCTGACTCTATAATCTTATGTGATTTTTTTTTATCTTCAATATGTGACACTCTCTTCACATGGTTCCTTCTGCTGCTCCAATATTCAATGTGGTTTTTTTTTTTATCACTATAATTTTTGTTTGGCCCCTTTTAAAGGACTCTGTTTCTTTCATAAATTTGTCATTCAGGTTTTGAATGGCTTTGGTTGCTTTTCTAAATTTTTGTCTGTCTATTCTTTGAATGCATGGATCAGTTTGTTTACTAATGGCACTGTCTGTTTTGTTATATCATCTTTGAGCTCACCAAATTTCTTGCTTTCTCATTAATCATTTCACACAATTGAGCCATTTGACATTGGGTTTCCTCTCTAGCAGTGCACCATGGATTTACTTTGGGCAGTGGGGAGGTTGTGTTTTTGGTTTTGTCTTTTTGAGACAAGGTTTCTCCGTGTAGTTCAGGTTGGCCTTGAACTCACTTTGTAGCCCAGATTGACCTTAAACTCACAGTGATCTGTTTGCCTCTGCCTCCCAATTGCTGGGATTACAGGTGTGTGTCACTATGCCTGGCCTAGCTGGGTGCTGTTGAAGGCATATTTTTGCCTAGTTTTCTTCATGTTTCTAAGGGGTGGGATTTGTGTGTGTGAGTGTTTGTATGGGTGACTGTGAGCACTGAGATTTAAGGTTAGATTTTTAACAGCTTTCTTGTTGGTATGATGATCTCTTTAGTAAATTATGTTTGCCAGTAATGTGATCTTGGCTTTATTTGGAAAAGGTGTTGTGTATCACTTCAACCTGTTTAGTTTAATTGGATTGGAGCTAGGCATTGTGTTGTAAGGAGAGAATTTCTGTAAGTTACAATAATATCAACAGATCCAACCATACATCAAACGTGAACATTAAATCCTGTTTTGACAACTTCATCTTATCAGTGCCCCTTGTAGACTGTCTTATACAGCTATTTGCATTTAGTCTAAGACGTGGAGGATGGGGGAGGGGAGAGGAGGGCGAAAAGGGAGGAGGTAAGTCAAAAAGAGAGGGAGGTAAGAGAAATGTGAATTGGTGAAAAATAGACAGGAGGTCAGATCCTTGGAATTATTTTTGTAGCTGAAGTAAAGAGCGAGTGTTGTGGGGTTTGAGAGAATATTTGTGGAGGCAGGAAAAGAGACAGCATTATAGAAGTATAGTTAGAGATTGAAGCTAACCATGAAATTGTTGGAAACTGCTCACGTATTTGTAGTTTTTGTTTAGATCCTCTACACACAATTTTTTTAAAGACTACCCTGACATGTCCTTGAATGGTATTACTTAAATTAAAGCACTGGTTAATCCCTACTCCCTTTGGTGCATATATGGGCACTTGATATGTGGAAAGGGGGAAAGGAGAGGGGGAGGCAAGGAGACAAGAAAATTAGGAAGAGAAGAAAAAGAATAGAGGAAAAGAAAGTCAATAATAAAGGAAAGACAAAAAGAGCAGGAAAAGGAGGAATCCATAAAAATAAAGTAAAAATTTAAAAAGTGCTAATAAGGAAGCAAGAAGGAGAAGAACAAAACAAAACCAAATTTAAAAAAAAAAAAAACAAAAAACAAAAAAAAACAAGAAAACCCAGAACAGACAAACAAGGAAACAAATAAAAGAAAGCCCTCACGTGGTTGCAGTAGCCTTAACCCAGAGCATCCAAGAGCCCCCCTCACACTGGAGTCATGTCCTGACGGCAGGCAGCCAAGCAGCTTCTGCCCTGCGGATCCCACAACTGTCTGTCAGATGCGGTGAGGGCTGCTGGTCTCTCCAGACCCACCTCTTGGTTGCAAATTGTGCTCTGGGCAGGGCCTACTGCAGTCTCCCATGTGGTTCCAAGATCCCATTGCTTCGATCAATTTGGAAAGAAGCAGATGTGTAGTTGCCCAACATCTAGTTCTCCAATGACTTTCACCAGGGGCCCAGCACTCCTGGTCCCTTCACTGTCACCGGAAGCCCTCTGGCACTGCTCCCCACCCCTTCTTCTCACAGCCCTCTGTCAGGCTCCCACCACCTGTGGACCATGGTGCAGCCCCAGGCTTGGCAAAGGCCTTCTGTGCCAACCGGAGCAGTCGGCAATGGGAAGCGTCTCAGGCTGTCTCAGTCTTTCTGGCATTTGGGGAATGTCAGAGAGCACACTTTGTGTCCTAGTCCCAAATCACGCTTCTCCCGTGTCTCCAGACATGTAGACACCCCTGTAGGACCCGCTCTTCCCTCAGTGCACAGTGCTCAGCGGCTCTCTGCTTAGGGCGAGAGGCCTCCCCCGGCCACATCAGCAGCCCTTAGACAGGGCGCCAGTCTCCTGCCCTCCTCTCGCAGACCCCCTCCAACACACTAGCCTGAAAGCTGCACTTTCTGGTCTGTGTACTTGGTGCAGCCCCAGGTCTCCTGGCCTCCACAGCCCCCAGTTAGGGCAAGAGGAAGCTCCCTGGAAGCCTTTAAGCAAGCGTGGGCAGCTCACTGAATGTCCCCCAAGCGCAGTGCTCCCATTGTAGGTGGGAGGAGTGGACAACTAATTTTTTTCAGTGTCAGGCAAGCCCTGTCTCTTGCTCTGGTCCCAATGCTCACAAGTACTGCTTGTTTCCAAAACCTGAGTTCGTGCCATTGTATGGTAGCATTCTCCAGTTTGGGTTTCTCTGAGCCCTGGTTTCCATGTATCTCACCTGCCGTGACTGTCTTCCCAGAGGGGCGGGTAGAGTGGCTGTGGTCTGTTCCTTCAGCCAAGTCAAAAAGCAGGCGCTGCTCAGCCGGATCCCCTCTGGAGACGGAGACAGAGAAGATGGCCGGCCTGGGGTAGAGGGTGGAGAGCCATAATCAACAGTAGTCCTGCTTCCCCTCACAAACCCCCAGACACTGGATTGTGGCCCAGAAATGTTCTCTTTTCATGTTTCCTCCCTTATCAGACTTTATCTTCACTCCCTCCTCAGGGCACCTGCTTTTCTCAAGTACAACCACAGACTCTCCCGCTGACGGCCACCGCTGCTGGCCATGACCTCTAGCCTTATCTTGTTTACTTGTGAAGAGAGCTGTTGCTGGTCAGTGTTTCTGCTGCCTCTGGGAACTGAGGCCTCCAGGTGGTGTAACTTGCTGGAGACCCTCACCCTGTGGGCGGTTGAACCAAGATTCAAATCAGGTTCCCTCTAATTCCAAATTTGGTGCTGAACGGGCATTCTGAGGCTTCAGGGACTTAGGTTTAAATACAGTCATTCTAGAAAATAAAATCTAAGGGAATGGGGAAAGCAGTTGTTGCTGTTTAGCAGATTATTCAGGTCCAGACTCGAATGTGTGGCACATGGGAGACCAGGTTGGCTGAGCAAATGTGACCTCAGCATTGCTCTGGCTCCTTTGCATTCCTGGTCTCTTGAGAACCTGGGGATAGGCGGGCTGTCTGGACTGTACTGGCCAGGAGGCAGAAGGAGGAGTAAAAAAGTCCCTCCTCCTTGATGGGCAGAGTGAGAGGAAAAAGATGCCTGTTAAACACTTAGAGCATCTTGGAATAATAGCTCTCTGTTCAGCTTTATTTATACACTCCGCTCTGCCCTTAGCCCTCCCTACTGCCTGCAGGACATCATTCTATCCATCTAGCCTCTGGAGAGTCTCTTGCCTCAGACCCAGCCTCGGCCTCCTCATCCCTGGGCTGTTCTGAAAGATTCACCTGTGTGGGTTGGAGTTTAATTACACTAGTCAGGCAAGGGATTTGGGGAGCTTTAATTTAAGGTTGGTGTCGGATGCTTTTAAATTATTTTAAATTTTCTGAGGCACCAAGGTGCAGCACACATCTTTTATAAATTATAGAGCAAATGCTGTGGCAGTTGGGGGCACAGAAGGGCCAAGGATTGGAACGGATCCCCAAAGGATGAAATATATTTCAAGCAACAAGGAAGAGCTTAGCGCACACCTATCATTATTGTTAATGGGACTGGGGCGTTGGGCTTGCTCTGGAGGGCCAGCACAATGCAAATTTGGCTCTTGGAATTCAGTTCCTCACTGCTCCCTGCCCACTCAATAGCGCTGAGCTCTGGTGAAATGTGTGTCAAGTTCTTCAAAACAATTATTGCTGCTGGAGGAAAAATGATCAGCCAAATACTCTGAATTTAACACCTCCTTAGAGCTAGAAATAGAAATGGAAATGAATTCTTGAAATGTTTGCATTCTGTTTAATATGAATCCACAGACATACTTGGAGCTAAGCACAAAAAAGGGAAAAGAAATTTTGATAAGGAGTTTAGAAAAGAACCTGCAAGTTTCCCTAGAGTCCAGAGTCATGGATTGGTACTTATACTCCAGTTTCTCACCCTGGTTGAGCAGTATGACCTTGGGTGCGTTCCTTTATGTGAGTTCCTGGGGCATACTTTTGTGCATCTGACCAGTAATTCACATTAGAATCTAAATAATGATGCAAGACACCAGTAAGATGACTGTAAGTCTGATCATATATAAATGAAATCCTTCAGTTGAACATAGAAGCAAAACATCAGTTGGAATCAATACTACTTCAGAAGAAGAAAGAGTTTCATCGCCAGGACCACAGTGGCTCTGATCTTGGTTCCTGGAAAGACAGATGATGTGAGGAAAGGCCCAAAGATCAGATGGAAGATGATTTCACTAAGAACATTCTACTTACAGATGGGTAGAACCAGAAAATTCTGACATGGACCACAGGCATGGACTAGGATGTTATCTGTCTCAGTTTTGGCTGAAGACCCTGGAAGCAGAGGATTACCAGTGAAATTTAGGAGCCAACAAAATCCCAAGCCAAAATAAAATGTTAGACCACTTGTATAGTCTATTGCAAAGATTTGCCTCTTAGCCATAATTTGCCTGCAGGATACAGAAGGGGTGGGGTTAGAGAGGCTGCCAGACTTTCTTTGGAGAGAATTGCGCCTGCGCTCCTATGCCTGAGGGCACTCCCTGTCTATACTGGCTTGAGAAGGAGGGATGACTTCCTCTTTTTAATCTAACTGAAAAGGGCTTCAAAATAATTACTTGGAGAATTTGATCTACATGGCCTAGAATACGTAGATCAGACTCACACCTAGAGTCTGTAGGCAAGAGGCTTGCTAAAGTGACCTGGGTAGCAGAGTATAGATAGTATATTAACTGGCAATTCTGCAACGGCAATTTCCCAAGAATTAGATGTGAAACTTTACGAAGGAACCAGCTTGGTGAAATCTTAGACCCAGCACATATGGACTACCTGGAGGGAACAATGAGACCCAACAGGGCCAGGTGACTGTAGATGCCGGGGGCTGGAAGAGGAAAGGTAAGATCTATCTCAGATTTTACCAAGAAGACAATGTCCCTCCCAGAGACCAAGCAGTAAAATAGTGCCTGTTGGGAACCTGTCCAACCAGGAAGTAACATGGGCTATGCCAGCGGAGCATGATGTTGCATATCCTTCACCTCTCCTCCCTCTTTCCACCCTTCCCAAGACCTGCAGGAGACGCAGTAAAGAGGAGGAGAAAAACAAGGCCTGGGAATGATGGGGAAGAAAACGATTGTTCTTCCTGCACTTCTGCCCAGGCCCAATCTGAAAGGAGGGAGAATATTCAATTTTTGAATTAAATTTGAAGTTCTAATTACTATGGTAGACTGAATATCTTAATTATTTAAATGAAGCTATTCTTACAACAGGGAACTTTTAATTGGAAAATGCCTGGGATTTGCCTAAGCACTCATCCCACAGGTGGTGGTAAATGCTCCACAGTGAGAAAGAATAAAATAGCTTGTCTGCCTGCTCCCCACTAAGTGCAGATCATCAATGTCCTAGGTACACATGCTTCACGGACTGCAGTGTGTCAGCGATGACTTAGCTGCTGCCTTCGTGGATAGGTGTGAGATGGTGAGAGCAGTTGGCTCATTCATCAAACCAGCTGGATGTCCAGGACGCCCCGATGACAGTGTGGCCACTGCCCCTCGCTGCATAGCTGAGAAAGGTCTGGCAGTGCGTTCCTTTCTTTCTATCTCTGAAAGTTTAGTTGTAGCCAGGAATAATAAAACTTCTAAAAGTACTTTATTGCCCCCCAGAAGGTACATAGGAATCAAGAAAACTTGGATAAAATGGCCTCCTTTATTTTTATCAATTATATACTAAAGCCAAAAAGAAGGTAAGGCATTTTGTTCAGGTCACTATTCTTCTGGTGGCAAATGACAAAAACCAAGGCAGAAACAGGAGAGGGGTCAGGAGACAGAAAACAAAAATTCAGAGGAAAGGGAACATTGATTAACTCCTGTATTTGAAAAGTCATTCCATTTTGCAGGTATGGCTGCATCTAAGTGCTCAGTTATTGTTGTCCTAGATGTATGTATCTTTCTCCATTTCTTGGCAATACATGAAGCAACAAAAATGATCATCAGAAGCTCCAGTCTTACAGTGTATCAACTGGAAACCCCAGTGAAAAGTAAGATTCTCTTCTGAGCAATTCCAGTAAACGTCAGGCTGAATTACAGTGACCTAGCTTAAATTGCATTGTCCAGTGTGGCCCTAATCACCATTACTCTTAATGTCCCTGGGGCTAGAAAGAAGGATTGACTTCAGTAAAAACATGAAGCCTAAGTGGGAAAGAGCTTCTGTTCCTTAAAGACAGGGCTGTAGGTCATAAACAGATGCCCTTTGATTCTTATACCAAGGAGTTTTATACACCCAAAGTAATTTCACTTATGTGTCTTTCTTCTTAAATGTGATGCTTAATATAGTAAACTTTGAGCTCAGCCATGAACTTCTCCAGCAATTCTGGGTGAAGAGTTGGCTAAGAATAAACACATGTAAATAGTATCATTTTATATGCAAGGCAGCAAATGGAACCATCCACCCTGTTTTATTAATATTACTCAAGAAAATCATTTGCACTCTAATTTACTGTGACACTAGAGAAAGCTCTAATTCTATAAACTCCTGATTCAGGGCTACAAAGTCTCACTGCTTTCACATGAGTGAGACAAAGTGTACAGTAAGCTGGCCGTGGAGTCCAATGTGTTCTTCAACACACTCTGGAGTTGTGTCAGCCTATCACAGTTAATTCCAAAACTACAGAGGGCTTAATATGGTTTGTGGAAGTGACAAAGTTGCTAATTTATCATACAAGAGATCAAAGCAGAAGCAGAATGACTACTGTGAAGTTGGAAAGGTTTTATTTTGTTTATTTATTTGTGTATAAGAGAAGGAAACTTTGAGTCCCCAAAAAATAAGAGCTATATTTTAAAAAATCTGTTACTTCCCCTGCTACTCAAGACTGTGAAGGGTTGAGTCCTCCCGGGACTGTGAGGTCCACAATTAACTACGCAGCACTGCGCTTGAGAGCAGAATCACAGCAGCGAGGCAGGTGGGCTGTGACACAGAGTAGGGTTTCTATAATCTCTCAGCTTTCTGCTTTGTGAATAGAAAACTCAGGGCTGGAATCCGTACCTGCACTGTGTAGCCTGACCTGAAGGGAGAAGGAGCAGGGAGCTGAGGGCTTGCATGCCAGAGAGGCTGCAGGCCCCAAAGGAGATGCGTGGGGTCTGAAGCAGACACACAGAAGGTGGTTTGCGCTGCGTGAGGATATAGGGATCGGTGTATATAATTTTCAAGGGATTGTCCCATAAATCAGTGACTGCATATTTCCTGAGGAAGATGGCTGCCTCCCACCTTTCCCAATGAGAAGACTGTGCCGTGGACGGTAAGTGACTTGCACGGGGTTACTGTCCAATGACAGGGCCGGGACTAGATCCAAGTTTATCAATTACCGGCCCATATATGTCTCTGGCCTAGTGCCAAGCACTCCACAAAGGCCCCGTTAAAGCTCAGTAAGCTTCCTTCTCCCCATCTCCATCCATC